GCTCGGAACAACTGACCCGGCTTTGCTCCCCGAACTACCTCCTTTTTTCTTCGGATGTCCTCTTGACTGGAAGGTTCCCCTTCTCTCTTTCTTTTTTCGGGTGCGTCCTCACCCTTCTGGTTGATCTCCTCTTCAGTGGCTATGAACTTATCCACGAGCTTTAGAAACTCGGTTATGGTCACGGGTTGGTTGACGACCATGTGCCACTAGAACTCTTTGTGCTTTACGCCCTTCTTGGCCGCTGCTAGGCGTACGGCGGGGTCCAGGCGCGGTATCTGCATACAAGCATCGTTGAACCGCTTGATATAACTTCGGATGGACTCTCCCTCTCTTTGGGCTACGTTGAAGATGCTTTCTTCAGTCCGTGGGCATCGCTTGCTGGTGACAAAGTGGGACGTGAAGGCTTGTGCGAACTGTGCCCAACTTCTTATCGACCCGGGTGCCAGGTTCCGGTACCACGTGCGGGCTGCTCCCCTGAAAGTAGTGGAGAAGGCCACACACATGCATGACTCACTGGCTCGTGCTAGATGCATCTGTGACTGAAAGGCATCTACATGATCATTCGGGTCAAACAACCCATCATACTTGTCAAGAGGGGGAAGCTTGAAATCCTTGGGCATCGGGACTGCCAAGAGTTCGGAAGACAGGGGGACGAAACTGAGAGGAGGGGGCATCTCTGCTTCTTGGTGGGCTCGACGTTCGTGCTGCTCACCTCCGCACTGTCTAGAATGGTTTGAGCCGGGAGTAGCCCGGTCTGCTGGTGATGGCTACGGACAGAAGAGACTTGCCTGGAGTTTGTTGCCAGGATCTCGAACCGGTTTTCAAGGATCGGGGTTCCAAACTTCGACTATCGAGGCGACGTTAACCTGTCGGGCCGGGGCCCTCCTAATCTATCCACCATGGTGTCTCTCTCATTCCTATCCCTTAGTAATTAAGGATGCTTTGTCATCCACTTTGGCTTGTTTTGTTCTTGCACTAAAGCGATGGAACATTGGTAACAACTACATAGAGAAAGGTAGTATTTGCTGTTTTGCTTAGTTGTTCTATCCATAAGTAATTTGCTTTCATGTTTTGTTTGTGTTCATTCAAATTGAATTTGGTTTTTATTTGACAGGTATCAATTTTATTGTTTCAAATTTTCCTTCATCCATTGATGAGAAGCAACATGCTTCAATTGGGATTGATATAGTATTTCTTGGAATGATTGAATATGCTAGAGAGATGGGTTTGATTCTTCCTTTAAGCCCTACAATTGCATATGCTTTATTTTACAAGAGAAATTTGGTATTCAGAAGGTATTTTTTTTTTATTTCTTTGATATTCATTTTGTCATCTTTCTCTTAAAGCAATTTCATGATCTCAAACATCTTCTGTATTATAGTCGCTTAGTTGTCATACATTATTGATATTTGGTTATTATGTTGGAAACTTTTAATTCATTTAATATAGCTTTTTGGAAATTCATAAAGTTCTGTATGCCCATATTTTCATCTATCCAATAGGCCACAATTTTCATTTGTATTTCTACTCATAAGTTTAGATTCATGGTCATTGTAGCAAAGTTGGTCTTTCTACCTGCTTTTTATTCACAGGGTGCTAAGGAGCAATATTTTCAGGTTGAAGTCTGGAAGTAATTAATCTTTTGTTTGTTACCATTTGAGCAAAGAGGCCATGTTCATCTTCTACTCAGCTCAACTGACCCTAAATATAGTATTTTGATAATTTCTTACTACTTTGGAGGATATATTCTTTGGTCTTCCTCTTGCTTTTCTAGAGCCTTATACTTGCACCTAGTCACTCCTCATTGATGCAGTGTGGATGACCAACTTCCCCTCATCTTGTCATCAATTGGGGCTACTCCAAAGTCTTTTTCTATATGCTCACTTCTGATTCTTTCCTTTGTAGTCTTGCAACTCAATCATTTCAACTAAAGCCATGTTTTTAACCATTTTCTTTCTTGATTGCCCAATACCATGTTCCATGTGATAACGTTGCTCTTATGAATATCTTATAAAACTTTTTTTTTATTGTCTTAGAAGCTGTTTGATAATAGCCGAAGTTGTTGAATTGAACAACTTATTGCTTTGTCTTTTAGTGGATAAAATAATTAAATGATAAAATATTCAAGTGTATAGTAATCTATCCAACTTCAGCTTCAACCATTCATGAATTCACAACTTCCTTAAAAACTTATTCTCTAAAAAACATAACAATAAGCTTTTTAGTGTCTTACCTTCAATGGTATTAACTAGATACATAGTACACAAATGCATCTCTCCCTCTCCAGTTCAACCACCGTTCACTAATTTTGTGTGACACCATCTTTTTTTTTTTTATTTCTCCACCATTATAGATGATTATATAAGGTATTGGAAGTGGTTAGTTTGGGGTATCAATTTCTTTTTATAGGTAACTATTAACTATATTAATTGGTGATTGAAGAATATATGGAATATGTACAATGGATAATGTGCCAAGAACCTCAAAGTCAAGAAAACTKTTATTTTATTGCCACCCCTTCCCCAATTAACACATTAAATAAGGCAATTTAATTTATTTGTTATAGAGGTGTTTTGTTATGCCTCATTTGTTGCAATTTTAGCCTTCATATTTGGTGACCGTGATTACCATAGAGGAAGACCAGAATCTTATTATTTGTTGGTGAATTATGGCCACAGTGACTCAACCATACTTGCAATTTCAGGAATAAATCTTAAATGGTTATTTGAAATTCATTAATTTGAAAAATTGTCCTTTGCCACAAAGCATCGTTCAAGGTCTCTCTCTTGAACAGTTGAACCTCCATTCTAACCTCCTTTTAATTTGTCATACTTTAATCATTATGACAACCTCCCATGTGCAATACACGTCCACACTTACCAATGCATAAAAAATACAAATAAATTTAGTATATATATAAAATATTCAATTTAGATAAAATTAAAAATAGTATATATATGTATGTATGTATATATGTATAACTATATAGTTATTTACACCTTGTTTTTTGACAAACCTTGCCTGATTGTAGGGGTGTCAACGGTAATGGAAAATTCAAATCCGAATTTGATATCGAAAGCAATTGAATCGAATTTGAATACTTCGGATAGTGTGAACGGTCGAATTCGAATATACATCCTGTACCGATTAAATGATTGAATTGAATTCAAATGCACGTTGATTCGATTCAATAATTATCCGACTCGATTATTATAATACAACACAATATAATATAATATAATATAATATAATATAATATAATATAATATAATATAATATAATATAATATAATATAATATAATATAATATAATATAAGTGCCATGATTTTTTATAAAAGAAAGATAACTATCTTCACAACTCTCCCAAACCGCCAAAGTGTCTATAACTTTTTGATGTTAGATAAATTATATTATATAAAAAGGAGAATTAATTACTCCTAACATGATAGGACCATCTGGTACTCCATCTCATCCCTGACCTTTAGCCAATTTCAAAGTTCCCCATTTCCCTCCCTTCTATCTTCTTCCCCTAGCATCTAGTTTTACTGGTTTTTTTAGAAGAGGGTTTCAAAAATATGAATAGCATATATTAAAGGCAAACAAGGTCATGTATTGCAAAAGCAAAAGAGTGTTACAGTTGCAACTATTATTCATTGATTTTACAGCATACTAAAATATTGTAAAAGTCTCTCTCTTCTCTTTCTCTCTCTCCCCCTCCCTCATCTCTTGGTTTCTCTACGTTACCGAAGACTTATTATTTATTCTAGATTTTATTAGTTTTTGTTTTCTTTTTATTTTTCCTCTTGTTCTTTGTCTGTCTTCATCATTAATAGAAACAAGTTTGTCTCCATAGATCGTTAAAAATGAAACAAGATATTTTCTTCTTTCTCTTCTCTCTCTTTCTTCCCCTCTCTCATCTCTCTCTTGCTTTCTCTACGTTACCGAAGACTTAATATTTGTTCTAGATTTTATTAGTTATTTGTTTTCTTTTTTATTTTCCCCTTGTTCTTCGTTTGTCTTCATCATTCATAGAATCAGGTTTGTCTCCATACATTGTTAAAAATGAAACAAGATTTTTTTCTCCTTTCTCTGTAGTTCATTCATAGAATCAGGTTTGTTTGATTTTAAGAATTAGGTTTAATCCATCGAATTCGAATTAATCGAATATTCGTTTATCTAAGTCGAATTCGAGTTCAATTTTTTACTTTTGAGTATTTATCGAATATTTAACCGAATTCAAATCATTAATTTTGCAATCGAATTTGAATTCAAATATAACATGATTCGATTCAAATTCGCTTCATTTACAGGCCTGATTATTTCTTACACAAGTATGAGCCAATTGCCTAGCCATGCCTCCGGCAGACTTAACTCGAAAAAATATTCGTTTGGAATCACTTCCATTTGACGAATGGAGATCCGATCCAATATCGAACAAAATCAAAATGAGCGAGATAATAAGGTATATCCGATTATTCGCTATATATATCACTAAAAGTATATGGTCTTAATAATTCTTCCATAACTATGAAATGAAACTTCCGCATTTCTTCGCCATATACACCAAACGGGACCCATGACAAAGTTTGTGTGTGTGGAGTCAAGTACCGAAGAAAAGAAAAAGAATAAAACGGGACCCATGAGGGCCATGACAAAACATGTCCGACTTTTGTCTTGCTGTAGGGGTTGCATGAGGTTCGTTGCTTTCATGCCCTCGTGCATCCACCACACTGTGAGTCGTGACTCGTGACACACCGCACACGGAGAAGAGAATAGCGACACCGTTTAGTTAAGACCGTAGGGTTCCACAATTGCCTTTCTGACACCGTCGATATGGTACATCTATCGTCGTCATATTTGCAGGTAACCGGGTCCAAGGCGATGTCCCAGATCTACGGTATACAGGGAACATCTGACACCTGAGCCTTACAGTTTCAATACAGCCTTTATGCCGATTGACACGTGGCATCAAACTGTAGCACATGGAACTCGCCCGAATGGAGGATAAACGAGGAAAGTGGGAGAGCAAGTGCAGTCTGAGCGGCGAAGCTCGAACTCTGTTGATCTGTTCTGTGACGATATCGATTTCAGGTTGAAACGAAAAGGTTAATTTTTTTAAGCTCGTATCCATTTTTTCTTTATTCAAGTGCTTAGTTTCGATTACCTTTTATTTTTCCTTCTTATCAAAATCCATTTCTCATTGCTATCATGGGCAATCCTGCATCTTATTAGGTTATATTAAGTTGTTTTTTTTTTTCCTTTTCAAGCTTCTGTCACTTGTGATTACATTGTGTCGAGATTTTCAAGAGATTGTCATTCTTATCCAGGTTATCTGGATCAAGAATCTGTTCAAGAAGCACCCGTTAGTGCTAGTATGGACTTCCTATACTACTTTATATGGTTTCATTTTATTTGCATTACTAATCACTACTACATCTCAAATTTGTACTATATTACGTTGTTTTCTTTCATCTGCCTTTTTGGTTGATCTACGGTACCGTGCAATTCAGAAATGGCATAGAATTAATAGCAGCTTAACCACCCCAAAGAAAAGCTATAATGGATTATGGAGTAAACATAATTTTTTTTTTTCAGGAAAACGAAAAGAAGGTAAAGGGAATCATTTTTTAGTTTTGGAAATTGGATGTCTACAACAGTTCCAGCATTTATTTTATTGTTGTTGTTGTTATTTGTGATGTTGTGGGAGTTTACTTGCAATATCCTAAGCTAGCAGTGTTTAATATAATTGTTTCTGTTTAGTTGTTTCGGTGGTTCCCAACATTTGAGTTAGAGCATTAATTTCATTAATTTGTGGTGTTGTAGGAGCATTAATTTCATTATTGTTGTTGTTGCTATTATTTGTGGTGTTGTGGGAGGGAGTCTGGGGGTGGGAATTTACTTGCAATATCCTAAGATAGCAGTGTTTAATATAATTGTTTCTGTTTAGTTGTTTTGGTGGTTCCCAACGTTTGGGTTAGAGCATTAATTTCATTAGCGTTTGGTTAATCTGTTTTTAAATGCCTGTGCAGCAATCTCTTTTAAGTCCAATTATTATCAGTCAATAGTAGGATAATTTGGTAATGGTGTTAAATTGTATGTCACATAATTGCAGATGGCTTCACCAGCTCTTATTTGTGACACTCAACCCTGGAAGGACCTGAAGGTATAATAATTTGCATCATTCTCTTTTCAAATAAAGTATATTTTGTAGTTATGATAAATTATTTGATATAAATTTTTATATTGTAATGCAGGCCCATGTTGAGGACATCAAGAAGACACATTTACGTGATTTGATGAATGATTCTGAACGATGCAAGTCAATGATGCTGTATGATCCTCATCCAAGCTCATTGAGACTATTCTTTTCTTTGAAATACTTATTTTAAACAATTTACAAAAACAACTGAATATCTGAAAATTTTTACTGCATGTACATTTTCTTTCTTTTTTTTTCCTGTTTTTGAATTTTAATGCACATCACCTTGTTTATTTATGCCTTATCTTTTATTTTAATTTCTATATGCAGCGAGATTGATGGGTTGCTATTGGACTACTCAAGGCAGTGTGCCACTCAAGACACCATGGAGAAGCTCTTTAGACTTGCAGAGGCAGCACATCTCAAGCAAAAGATTAACAGCATGTACAGTGGAGAGCATGTAAGCAAGGATTATGTGCTAAAGCATAATTGTTAGTTGTAAAATTCTGATTCCAGGAAATCTAAATCGTTATTCTATTTCTGAATTGAAAAAAAGGAGCTGATTTGGCATATCATATTTTTGATCAACAGGCAATCCCAACAAAAAACAAAGATACCCCTTATTTCCAACAATAAATATTAAAATACAGGGAACTTTTGTCCTTTGAACATCTGCTGTTTGATTAATAGGTTGGGGTGTGCCCCCTTTATCAAACTGGGATGTGTCTGAATCACCTCTCTTGAAATATTGCTGCAGTTCTTAGGCCAGGATACCGAAGTTAAATCCATTCAGCAAAGCCTTATTCCAATTATTTGGGGTTTGCTATGAGAATTCTGTATTTCCATTCACTTGTTCAAGTGCAGTATGTTCTGATAAGTTGGGAATTTTAGGTCTTTTTTTTTTCACTATTTCATTTATGTCCTTTTCAGTCTCTCATGTTTAGAACTTTCAAGTTGTATAAAATTGCTTGCTTCTCCCTAGTATAGTTTGGAATCACATGGTCAAACAACCAGTCAACTTTCATATTCTTATCACCTTTTTGGGCTAACCCTAGGTTCCCATACATGCACTAACTAATTCTACCCTTTCTCCTCTTGCCCCACATCCATTACAACATCCTCATCTCTCCTGTGCTCATCTTTTATGGACATTTCTGGTGACAAGATAATCATTTCAATTTAATGTCTGAAATTTGGTTGGTTTGTTTCTTCAGATAAACAGCACTGAGAATAGGTCTGTCCTTCATGTAGCCTTACGTGCTTCAAGGGATAAAGTGATTTGCAGTGATGGGAAGAATGTGGTCCCTGATGTTTGGAAAGTATTGGACAGGATTAGTGAGTTCTCTGAAAGGGTTCGAAGTGGCTCCTGGGTAAATACTTCTATAATGTTTATTCTGGATCCAAGTTTGATATATCATTCCTAATTATTAAGTCATGGACTGATAGAAAACTGGTTGCAGGTTGGAGTAACAGGAAAAGCATTGAAGGATGTTATTGCTGTTGGAATTGGTGGAAGTTTCTTGGGTCCTCTATTTGTGCACACTGCTCTTCAAACAGGTAAGTTAATACAGTTTTAGCTATATGTTTACCACCCACAATATAATCTGGCCTTTTTTAGGCACCAATAATGTGACACTTTAATCTTACAGATCCAGAAGCCATACAATGTGCAAAAGGACGTCAATTGCGATTGTAAGAATGATTGATTGCTTACATATGACTTAGTTTTTCTTGATGCTATTTGTAAAGGGTGTGGCTGCTTTGGTCTTTTACTTGGTATCTGCATTAAAACTTAGTGCATTGCATAGCTCTAAAATAAAAAAAAAATGTATATGCATATGTATGTATTTTGAGTTTCCTACTACTTCTGGTAGCAAAGATTCAATAATTTAGGCGATGTTTGGTTTGAAGGAAAATGCAGGGAAAGGAAGGGAAGGTAGGGAAACCTTTACAAACCTTGTATTGGTTTCCCTGTCTTTCCCTTCCTTTCCCTACCTTTTCCTTTAAACCAAACATAGCCTTAAGGAAAAATGTGCTAGAAAAATTTGCTTTAATAGCTCACATCATCGGGGATAATGATTTTGTATTTTCTGCTTCATAGTGTAAAGTCTGATCTATTGGGGCTCCACCGCTAGCCTTTTTTGTATAGCTGTTGGGCAGGGCTCTCTGTTGTCTTTTATACATTGATATAATTCAAATTTCATCTTTCAGAAAAAAAAAGAGGGAAGCAAACAACATTTCAGTATGATGAGTTAAGGCTAGACATAATAGGTAAACAAAGGCAACCGATAAGAAAAAGGTGGGAAAAGATGTTGTCTGGTGCTGTCTTGTGAGTTAACCAACCTTACACATTGTACAAATACAAGGTTGATTGAATTTTTTTGATAAGTAAAGAAAATCATTATATTAATGAGAAAAAACTTATACAAGTATTCTTGGAGAGGTGCGGGCTGTGTAATCTCTGAGGCAACAACAAACTACAACTGTGCCCAATATAATTGATCCCTGGCTGCCCCTTGGTAGACAATTAGCCAAACCATTGGCTGATCGCCTAACCCATTGTACTGTTACAACCAGATCCCTTGGTAACCACTTGAACCTCTTGGATTCGTTCTTATAACACCACACTACAGACTCCGGATTCTATAGCCATCCCACTACCACCTTGGAATCTCCTTCAATTGATAACTGCGCCACGCCTGACTGATTTGCAGATTGTACATCTTGAATAGTAGCTAAAAACTCCACCCTAGTGGAATCCCTAACTCCTAGTGGACCCGAGTAGAGAAGTACCACATTTCCAGCCTCGTTCCTTATAACCCCTCCCAATCTAGAAGGACCTAGATTATCTTGACTACTTCCATCAGAATTCAGCTTCAAAACACCTATAGGAGGAGGTACCCAGGTTACACTTACTTTAGCCTTAGGGAAGAGCTGCTTGCCATTGTAGATCAATTCCTCGAGACATCATTGAAGGAGAAAAAATGGAACAGCTCCGAGGATTTCAACCACTGGACAACCCTATTCAATATTCAAGATTCTATCCTTTAGTTCTTGTAGATTTCTTTCCTTCTCTTGAAACACTCTAGCGTTCCTTTCTTCCCAAACAGTCCAAATCAGCATTGCTCTTGCACATCTCCACATCAACCTCCTTATTTGGTACCAGGCAAAAGTAGAAGGATAAAAATACAAGCTTACTTCTGTTGGACTGTTCCACCTGCACCCAAAGAGCCAATCCCAATAAAGAACAAGAAATTAGTAAATGGTAGCAGTCCACCATGGAACCTGCAAGGCTGCAAAGGATACACCAATTAGGAGAGATGCAAAGGAACAATCTTCTCTTTTGTAAGTTATCTGAGGTGTTTATATTCCCATGGTACACTTCCCAACAAAAGGCCATAACCTTAGGGGGAATAGGCTTGCACCAAACTTCCTTAATAGGGAAAGACTGTTGAGAGGAAGACTGAGAGAGACTTGAAAAAGAAGCATAAGAGAAAGACCCTTTAGGGTTTGGTGACCAAAACTGTTTATCTGGTTCAGAGGGATCAGAGCAAACTTTAGCAAGAAGACTCAACAGCTTGGTGAGACACTCAATCTCCACATTCCTTAAACCTTTACGAAAACTGAAATCCTAGTTTGGTGCCAAGGGGTTTTCCAAAGAGGAGAAGAAATTTGAAACAACCTTTTTTTTGGTACTAAGAGAGAGAACAAGGATGAAAATGTCCTTCAATGGTAAATCACCAACCCAAACATCATCCCAAAATAGGGTCGAGCAAGGTTCAAAGTATCGATACGTATCGGCCCGTATTGGCCGATATGTATCATGCTGATGGCTTCCCGATACACCCCTCCAGGTGTTGTATTGGGTCAGACATTGGTTCAAAGGGTAGATGGGCCTTAAATGGACCCCTCTAAACCGGTTTCAAAAAAAAAATAAAACCTAAAAAAAGTACCGATACAGGCCGATGCGCCCTACCGGCATATCGACCTGTGTCGATACTTTGAACCTTGGGATTGAGTTCCCATCACACACATCATACTTGACAAAGTCGAGAAACCGAGGGAGAATGCTGTGAGCGACCATGATTGCCCATCGAGATACATCAACATCCCACCCAATCTCTGAGCGACCATGATTGCTTCCTATCACCTCATGCCACAACCTCTCTCTCTTTAATGGCGACCTCCACAGTCACTTCTCCAACAGAGCTATATTCTTTTGAACTAAGTTCCCCGGACCCAAAGAAAGTCTTTTCTTTGGAAAACAACTTCCCACTCAATTAAGTGATCTTTTCTACTTTCTCCCGGTTCCCAAAGAAAGTCTTTCATCATCTTCTCCAACTTCTTAGCTTCCCTAGGCAAGGTTTAAAATTTCAATATGATACGCCTGATACGGGGCGTATCGTATCGTATCTTTGAAAAACCGATACGGCCAAAAACTAAAAAAAAAATTAAAGGAGGAAAGCAACCTTCTTTTCCCCGAAATAAGCCTTCTTTCACCCCCAAATGACTCTAAAACTCCAAATTTCATTCCTAGAGTGCTAGATTTGCAAAAGTTTGCAAGAAACAAGTGTGAATCGTTAAATTTTTTAAAGATTTTTCAAATTTTGAAAAAATGGCAAAAATAGGTATTTTTTTTCAATCTTTTATAATATCTTGTGATTTCTTTTTTTTTTTCTTGAATGTTTAAATTTATGTTGATTTACATTTCTTACATTCAAAATCACAATTATTTTTTTGTGTTATCAATAGATTTATGGAAATTTCATGAAGATATTTGGGGAAAATATAAATTAACTAAAAAATTGAAAATGTAATTTTTTTCTCTGCCTATAAAGACTAAATATGTTTTAGATCTATGGATTTATCTATCATATCCATAGAGCAATTGGAATTTCTTCTTTAATATATATTTTTTATTTTTTATATTTTTAGATTTTAAAAAATAAATAATAATTAATTATATTTTATCATTTGATCACAACAATTGAATATATTATAAYTCTATGGATGATCTATCATATCCAYARACCAATTGAAATTTCTTCTTTAATAAGTATTTTTTTATTTTATATTTTTAGAATTAAAAAATAAATAATTAATAAATTATATTTTATCATTTGATCACAATGATTAAATATATCATAATTCTATGGATGATCTATCATATCCACAAAGCAATTGAAATTTATTCTTTAATAACTATTTTTTGAATATATAATATAATGTTTATTTGTTTTTTATAACTTTTTGGAAATGAATAATAAATAATAATTATTTAAATAATAAATAATTATTAATTATATTTTCACATAGAAGTTGTGCCAATGCATGTTTTATGGTTGGATAGGAGAGTTGAATTTTTCTCATCCCATAAAACATTAAAACTTAAGAATTATAATTTATATTTTTATATTATTAAATAACACCTCACATAACTAATTATCATTTTCTTCTTTAATATATTTGATGATCTACAAATTCTTGGAAGACCTCACATAACTCATTTTTCAACACTTCCCAATAGTCTTGATAAAATGCCATTGTTAAACCATTTGGGCCCGGTGCCTTAGATCTATCCATCAAGGATATTGCCTCTTTGATCTCGTCTTCCTAAAATCTCCTTTCCAACCAACTTATTTTTTTCCTCTCCCAGCCTTGGCCAATCTAATCCTTCCTAAGGTATCTTTCATTCAAAGGCCTTTCTATATATGGATTTGAAATGATCCACAAAGGTTCTAGCTATTTTATCTTGACTTGTAATCACCTCCCCTTCCATTTCCAATTTGGCGACAAAGTTTTTCCTCCTTCTATTTTCCAAATCATGAAAGAAATGGGTATTCCCATCTCTTTCCTTAATCCACTTATGCCTGAATTTCTGTCTTCAGAAATTCTCCTCTCTAAGTAAAACATCTCCCAGATCCTTTTTCAGTTGCCTTCTACTCTCTATCCTGTTGATTGGATTTCTCCAATTCATTTTGGTATGTTGTCAGAAAATGTTATTTGTCAGGCGTGTCTTCTGAAACTTCTAGGAATTAGCGTGCTGACTTCATCATACTTGTGGTAAATTAACTGGTCCTAGTTCAGTTAGCATGCATAATTTATGTGATGTAAACCATGAACCTCTGCTGATAGATAGATAGAAAGAGTAAAAATGAATGTTCAAGGGTTTTTCCTTGCAATTGTTTATTGAACTTCTAGATGATTAAATAGTCAGGTCAAATGGATGTATATTGCTTGGATTGTTCATTGGCTTCCAGGAATTTTTGCTGTATACCGTATGTTGGATATTTTTATGATAGGTCATGGTGGTGGTTATTATTGGTAGGTCAGTGTTATGTTCTATAACATGGTAAATTCTTATAGTCTACCTAATCTGTTTTTAACCTTTTAACTGCAGCCTTGCAAATGTTGATCCAATTGATGTTGCCAAAAGTATCACGGGGTTGAACCCTGAAACCACATTAGGTATACCCAAGTTCCATTATTTTGAAATGTATCATGTAAAGTGGTTCCTGGGATTCATATCTAGCTATTTTTCTTGTGATATATGCAGCTGTAGTTGTTTCAAAAACTTTTACAACAGCTGAAACTATGTTGAATGCTCGGACATTGAGGGAGTGGATTTCAGCCGCTCTTGGGTCAGTGGAATAATAAGATAACTGGATCTGTTGTGACTTGGGTTCTGACAATAATTTCTTTTGCCATAAGATACATTTATGAAACTTGTTGTCCCATGTCAGACCTCAAGCAGTTGCAAAGCATATGGTGGCTGTTAGTACAAACCTTACGGTATTTCCATATTCTTTATTTGTTTTTTTTTTTCATGTAGTTCTGTCATCGAGTATATATGTTTTTGTGTTTCTTTATCTTCAAGTAGAGTGTGAGCATTCACTGGAGGAATTTATTTATTCTTCCATATACATAATTTATAATTTCATGTTCTGGCATCTTTTTTTAAACTAGCAGTCCCTCAGTTTTAACCAGAGTACAATATTGCCACTGGTTCTGTTGTCTGTAGTAAAAAAATGCATTCTCTACATTTACTTGTTTGTGCAGCTCCTTGTCTGACTCTTAAGTTTGTAGATTAATTTAGTATGCCCCTCTAATCTTGGAGAGATATTGACATCAAGGTTGGTTGCCTATTCTTAGTGATTGACAGGAGTCTGTCCCCTTGATAAATTTGTTTTCTACCCAAGAACTCTAAGGGTCTTGTAAAAAATTTCATCCATATTTGCAAGGACTTAGAATGGGAAAGATGATGAAGTTGAGAAATATCAAGGTGGAAGGAGATTCAAAGACCGAAGTGCAGTAGTTCAAAAAAGAATATGAAAAGGGTGACCAGACATTTAACGAGGGAAATAAAAACATCAGCAAAGGACAGGTCAGCAAACAGCTTTGCTGATTTCCTTGCAAAGTTAAGGACAAGAAGGATTCCTTCTATTGTGGTGTAATAGGATAAAGAATTGTAAATCTAACTATTGGGTCAGGTAGTAATACCAGCCTGAAAAATCATTCTGTACATATAATTCTTTTTCATTAATTGAATAAAGGCTATACATTACTATAAACTTTCACATTGATAAATGCCAATTGCCCTTGGTCCTTGATATATAACAGGCTCATAGATGATCATTTTTTCCCATACACAACGGATAAGATGGAACGAAGAAAAATAGAAAAAAGAAATTGAAGATGGTTAGGCCTAACATCTACCTTATATGAGGCCTTAAATGGAGTCACTGCAAAGAAGGAAAGTTCTCTAGTACTGCACTTGGGGAAAAAAGGAAAATAAATAAAAAAAAAATTATTCTCAGTCTCATCTTTCTCCTTTATAGAAATATCATGGGCCTTATATAAACTTGTTTCCTTAATTTAAAGAAGAAGCTTGAAAAATTTCCAATTTATACTTATTAATTAAATGAGTTTAAAACTAAGTAAAAGATGAGTATCGATCTAATGAAACACTTGATACTCAACTTTTGAGTACCAAGCGTATTGATACTTTGAACTTTGCCTATAAGTTTGAAATAATTTCTGAAAAAGAAAAGCAACTTCTAAAACCAAGACCTACCAACATGAATCCTAAAATAATGGCCTCTTAACTTGAAATTTTGTAAAACTAAAATATAGGACATGTCGTCACAGACATGTCCTATTTTTTAGTTTGAAAAAGGTATGGGTGATACTCCCTTTGTAGTTTGGTTGTCCAATATGGTGCCATGCGCACATGTTGGACAAATTTCAATAACCTATAGCATGTTTCCCCACCAAAACATATGGAAAACCACCCTGTCAGACGCTTATAATGTCAAACAACAATACGATTGTTGGCTTCCTGGCCAGAGCACCTGAGTTCTGTCTAAATTAGTGGCCTGCAATATTTTCTCGCATAACACCTGCAACATTTATGGTCTAAATTCTTACAACTGCTTGTTACATGGTTCTTGTATATTTATATCATGCTTGCTATACGAATAAAGATGTGTAATTTAACTGTTTTTGTTCCTTGAATGAGGTTGATCACACATGTCCAATTTTCATATACCAACCTTGCTATCACATAGCTTTGTATTTTTTTTTTCTTTTTCTTTCAAGGATAAGATATAAAGCATGGAACATGGGTTTTGATACAATATCTTTAGCCCAAGATTTTCTCTCTCATCTACAAGTTTGCTATGCATTTTCCAATCCCCATGCAGCTTGTGGAGAAGTTTGGAATAGACCCTAATAATGCTTTTGCTTTCTGGGACTGGGTTGGAGGCCGATATAGTGGTAAATATATTTATTTGCTGCTTATGGGATCTTGTATTTAACTTGATGATTGGATCAAATGAAATTCTTGGTCTACTTCATGGGCATCTTCTAATAGTATTTTATTGCAGTTTGCAGTGCTGTTGGTGTGTTGCCCCTGTCTCTACAATATGGTTTCCCAGTTGTTGAGAAGTACGGTAATTTGCATTTATGATTTCTTCTTTTATTTACAAGCAGAACCAAAACAGCACAAAAGTTGAATCTACTTAAAATGGAATATGGAAAAAAAACATTGTAGTTCTTGATCCAAGTATTTTATGGGCTTTGAAACAACATGTCCCAGGCTACCCCCATGGAAAGTTCTGTTCTTTATTTGTCTTTCTTAACTCGTTATTAGTTCTGCAGTCCTCCATAAAGTTGCTAGGCTCTTATCTCTCAACAAAAAAAAAAAAAAGAGTGGTTGTATACCAAATTGGACAACTGGTTGGTTGAGCAAATTTAAACCAAACATTAATCCAGTTGTTCTATTTATACATGTTTGTTATTTGCCTATCATGGCCTTCCCAGTGGTTGTTTGGAACAATGGAAGCTTGTTCAACTCCCACATGAATGGTTTAGACCCTGCTGATTGGCGGGGTTTAGATTGCTTTGCCTGCAATTGTTGAATGATTCTTAAAAATGTAACATGCTGCTATATTACATGTCAACCGTTTAGGATCTTTATAGATCCTTGACCTATTATTACCTCTGATTGCTTTGACATGATTTTGCCAAACACTAACATCAGATCTTTTCGCTCTTTTCAAGGTTTCTAAAGGGGGCTTCAAGCATTGATCAAAATTTCCATTCAGCACCATTTGAGAAAAACATACCTGTAAGGGACCCACTAACCTATTTTGTTCTATTTATTCATTTATTCTTTCTTTTTCAGAATGAAGGCATCTTGTTTTTCCTGTTCGGGAGACCATAATACAATCCATCAATGGCATATTGGTTTGATATCTGTAATACGTCGGCAGCGGGTCAGACTGGGGTAGTGCCTCTTGAGGACTGCTGCCAGTTGGGGGATTCCAAACCACCTTCTGTTGCATTATTTTGGACAGATGGACCTGCATATGTTTAACAAAATGGTTAATAAATCAATTGCTTGTGATTATCCAATTGGATTAATTCAGTGACTAGATTTCCCAGTTGAGATCATCAAATACTCGACTCAAAAACTGATCTATGCCTGTGTTGCTTATTCACTGTTTGGCCTGTTTATAACATCATTTTACTTCTTTGGGATCAGGTGCTTTTAGGTTTGTTGAGCATATGGAATGTTTCTTTTCTTGGATATCCTGCAAGAGTGAGTATATGTGAGATGATCCAGAATAGATTTTGAACTGCAACATATATAACTTTTGTTTCTTGAAATTTCTTTCTAGTAGTCACTTCATGATAATGGAAGTTAATTTTTACACCACATGTTCCAGGCTATCTTACCATATTCTCAGGCCCTAGAGAAATTTGCACCACATATTCAACAGGTATGTGTGATAATTACCTCTTTGCATTATATTTCAAGGTTTTGCAGTCATTTATATTTCCTAAAACTACTACTTTTGTAGGTTAGCATGGAGAGTAATGGGAAGGGAATATCAATTGATGGAGTGCAACTTCCCTATGAGGCAGGTGAGATTGATTTTGGTGAGCCAGGAACAAATGGTCAACACAGCTTTTACCAGCTAATTCACCAGGTAATCAAGGTTTCTGTCAAATTGTATTTAGTTTACACATGAAATTGCTCCCCACCGTTGGCTTTCTTAGTATCTTAATATGGTAAAAAATTAATTTAATTGAAACATAACCTTTGAACTCTTTGGGGTTTCACCTAGTCCCCTTTCCTTCCCTCCTCTTTTCACCATAACCTGTCTATAGTTATGTGATATGGTCACCTATTCTACCAACTTATGACTTTTAGTTCACTTGAATTTTGAATATGATTACTATCCAAAAGTTGGTGGCATTGTTAAACTGTGTGTCTTGAACCTTGCAGTTGATTGTCTTTTGTTTTCATATGAGATTTTCTGAACTAAATTCATCGACACCCTTCTATATCTATGAACTGTACCAGTTAATTGAAAATTTCCTTCTATATTTGGTCCTTTGGACCTTATATGCTTTCATCTCAAACTTGGGTATAAATACCCCAGTTTTATATCAATATTATTACAATGTAGCCCGTTAGAAATGCTCCTTTTTGGTCCCTTGTTTGACTAAGGTATCTGCCAAACCATTTTCTGTTCTTCTAGTCCATCTGAAAATGACAACGATTTCCCTTTCTAAACATCTTACTTCCCTCGTAGCTTGTCTATAAATCTAAACCCCCAAACTGTTCATTTGCATCCAACTTACTACCATTTTAGAGTCACCTTCCACCTCGACTTGACTGAATCCTTGTTGCTTTTTCAAGTCTCAACCTTGTAAGAGGGCTGATAATTCTGCCCTTGGCAAGTCACCAGCACCTATTGTCCCTTGGTGTTATGCCAATACTTCCATTATTATCCCCAAGTACTCCTCCAATTCCAGAAGGTCAAGGGTTACCACTTGAGCTTCCATCAGAGTTTAGCTTGATCCTATCGTGGGCTGGTGGAATCTGACTCTCTTGGATGATGGGTCTCAGTGTGGTTGAACCAACTATTACACCCCATTCCTTGATGATTTCGTCTACTAAGAATTGCCTAAAAGCATAAACTATTTCCATCCAATGAGCTATTTTAATCGTTACACTTTCAATGACTGCCTCTTTTTTTTCACTTGCTCCTGGAACATGCTATTGTTCCTTTCTTACCATATGGTCCATAGAATAGCTACTCTTGTGGCTCTCCACACGAGGTGCATGGCCATGTTTTAAGATGCATATGATATCCCTAAAAGTAGTTTGTGATTATTTGGGGCCCTTTATAGTGACTACTTGTTGCCACAAAGACTGGGGACAGAGATGAATGATTGCCCTTGCTTTGCTGAATGTCAATAATTGGTGTTTCTTTCTGAAACTGGCTATTTACAAACTTGTAACTGGAGCCTTTTTCTATTTTTTAATTAGACATTTCCTTTTTTGTCATATGAACTTGAAATAGCCTGACCCGATATATGTACAAAGTCTATTTCTACCTTGGAAATGCAGTATAAAAATTCAACTTTAGTCTCATGTTAATTGGAACTTTCTTTCCACACTTAATTGAACAAAGCATTGTTTCAATTTGTTGGATCTGCTAAGTTTCCATGCCAGGGTGGCAAGCTTGAATTGACCTTCCAAGTGATTATTATGCTAGCTTTTCCCCTGCTTCTATTCAGGTTCTGCTCAATTTGCTTGCTATAGGTGGTGAATGTTCTGTTGTTATCACATGATAAGGTTTAATTAATACTCCAAGTGGTTAATGAGTAAGGATCTTCTGCAACAAAACATGTTCCAACACCCTACCAACATGATCTAACACCGCACATCTCACCATGAGACAGGGGCCCACCATAAAAGTGGGGCCCACCATGTATGAGATGTGTAGTGTCAGATAATGTTGGTAGAATGTTGGAATATATTTTGTTGGCAGGAGATGTGGACTCATTATTAATTGTATCTCCAAACATTCTTTTTTGGAATCTTCAGGGACGGGTTATTCCTTGTGATTTTATTGGTGTCGTGAAGAGTCAACAACCTGTCTACTTGAAAGGTATTCCAACACCATTCCTGGTAAAATATGTTTGTTGCTCGGCAACTTTTTAAATGAACATTGTTTGCACCTTTGATTTGCAAGGGTTGTTTATCTCACACATTTTTTCTCATATAGGGGAGTTGGTGAGTAACCATGATGAGCTCATGTCTAACTTCTTTGCACAGCCAGATGCTCTTGCTTATGGGAAGGTAGGCTTTCTGCTAAGGTTTGACACCCTCCGACCTTTTCCCTAATAGGGTGCTGATATTTAAGGTCTTTTTTTTTTTCTTTTTTTTGTTCCTTGATGGCTAGAAATAAGCACATGGACTTTTTCTATAGAATCATAGAATTTTGGAAGTGAGGTGCTTAAGTCTTGTAAAAATATTGTTATATATTTACAATTAACAGTACTTTGGTTTTTATAATTTAATTAGGCTCCTGATGTATGGAAGGAAATGCTTCTCATTAGTATAAAGGCAACTCTTGAAAAAAAAAACATTTATTGTCAAATTAAGGGCTTTACAATGTTGCATTCCACAATTTTCCTGGCTATCTAATCTAATTTGTTTGTTTTATAGACTCCAGAGCAATTACTAAATGAGAATGTACCTCAACACCTTATTCCTCACAAGGTGATCTGCTTCTGGTTTATGTTTTAATTTTTAAATTCTGACGTGTACTTTTTCAAGTTCAGTCGTAGCTCATGAGTCGTCTCATTTTCTGCAGACCTTCTCTGGCAATCGACCGTCCCTCAGCCTCTTACTTCCCTCTCTGAATGCTTATAATATTGGACAGGTGATATGCAGTTTCTTACACCCTTTATTCCATAATGATGTACCTTTAGGTTTTAGTTCTAATAATTTCTCTTATTCATGAGCTGAATGCTTGTTGAAGAAACTTCTTTCCAACAATTTGAGCTCCTTTTTTTTTGGCCTCAATGGTTTGATCTTCTATATATTCTGAGGTGAATGCATTCTCTCATTTCTATGGGTGGTTTGCTAGTTTTCGTGCAGCTTGCATCTATGGAACTACAACTACAACTTTGCTTATATTCTGATTGTAAGGGAACTGTATAGTTTCCAAAGGGAAAAATCTCTTTTCAATTTGTGTCATTCTGTGCAAGAGGATAGAGGAGCTATCCATGTAATGTATGTTGGTTTCCATCCATCAATCAGTCATCATCATTATCATATAAGCCATTGGCCACATGAATCCGGTTTCACCATTTTGTTCTGTTTATGTATCTTCTTTGTTTACTAAGTCATTACTCATACTGTAAGGAGCATTAGATTATTTTGGGACATTTCTATCTGTGTGCGTCTTCAAGTTCAGAAAGTACATGAATTTGGCAAAGTATGCATATGGAGGTCAATGTGGCAAAGTAAGTAATGAGTGAAAGTTGGGAAATTGGGTTAGAGGGAATCACATTTAGAAATTGATAGATGTTTATTGCTGGATCTCCACGGAACAAAGAGGGGAATCGCATTTAGAAATTGATAGATGTTTGTTGGTAGATCTCCATGGAACAAAAAACGCAACAACACTAAGAGATGATGCAGGAAAGTTTCAAATTTACTAAAATGCCCTAAAGAATCAAATGAAACATAGGATTGTGCAATTTCACAAGCCTGGAAATCTTCTGCTCCTAGTCCTTAGGGTTACTTGGGTTGAGCAGATATTATTTGATTTTATGGCCCATGGAAATCTGATATTGGTATTGATCCCATTAAAATTTTATCTGAGACTGTCTTGTACCTTTTTGGCGGTTTCTGGATATATCATTTGGAATGATAAGAAAATGTTCCTATACCTTACTAGCCTTCCACCAAAAATGTCCTCAAAGACACCAAAGCGAAGGAATTTGTGGGCCTCCAACAGAATGAGATGATCAAGCAACACAGAGTGTACTTTTGAGAATAGAAAAGACAATTAGATTCAAGTGCCCAAGCCTTGCTGTCTTAATTATCCACAGTCAAGAAAAAAATACCCTCTATTACTACTAAGACCACCTAGTGGAAAGGAGACACAGTTGGAGACAGGATTTGCTTTCAAGCAAGATTTGGATGGATAGACTTGCTCTCTCTCTCTCTCTCTCTCTCTCTCTCTCTCTCTGAAGCTGATAGATTTGTTTGAGGACATAATTCTACTCAGAAGCCAAATTGGAAAAATAAAATATTTGGAGCCTGGCGGTCCACATGCTTATCTAATCTTAGTCGTTTAAAATAATTGTTCCTGACTTTAGAAATCTGATATGGGCATTGAATTTTTGTATGTAGAACTGTTATACTTGGTGCATTTTTGTTATGTGTTAATAATCATCCATATCTGTTTCTATTCACCTATGATACCTAGACTCTTACATTTTACTTGAAGTACCTATGTCAGACACAACAATAATGGGTATAGGGTATGAGATATGTTGGATTTGCCAAGTCCATGTCTCTTTTATTTTTTGCCTAGTTGTGATGGATTGGGTATGTATCCACAAAATTGGAATGCCAAGACTAATTTTTTGAGAAGAGGTAAAGTATTAATTCATTAAGAAAAAGCAAAAGGACCCATGTACAACCAGAGGCTATACAGTGGGAAGTACAACAAACATTAGACCACTATCCCCTTTGTCATTACAAAAATGGTTTTCAAATTGAAAGAGAGAACTAAGGGGAACACAATTCCTTGATAGATGTGCAGATGACCATGATAGCAGTTTCCCAACTATTTTCTGTCACACTTCCTCTTCTTGACAGCCTTTACTTCGAAAGAGCCTTGAGTTTCTTTCCTGCCAAATCGACCAGAAAACTGCTCCTGGGACCATGTGCCATAGACTTTTCCCTCTCTTACTCAGACCTTGTATCCACCAGCCTTTTACAAAAGCTTCCATTGTTGCAGGGCAGCAACTTTTGATGGCAAATATGCTAAAGATTTTCACCCATATGTTGTATGTAAAACTGCAATGTAGTAACAGGTGGTAAGCTGATTCTTCTACTCCATTACATAAAACACAAACAGGTGAGTTAATCGCCATTCCCCTCCTGATCAGGTTATCTTTTGTAAGAATATTGTTGAGATAGGCAGACCAAACAAAGAAAGCCACCTTTGAAGGGATATACTTGCTCCAGATTATATGCCAAGGGAAAATCCTGCTCGTCTTCTTGAGTCAAGGGAACACCAAAATTAATTGTTAACATATATGATTAAAATAAATATTAAAACAAGAAGTTGAAGCTTGAATGTATACAATGCTTTACCAAAAGTGCCCATTTTAAGCCTCATAAAATATTTCTATGCACCCTTATGTTATTGGTTTTAAAGTCTCATGTTAAAATATGGTTTATTTTCTTTCTTCTGTTTTTGATGCTTTTCTATTTTTGGTTGTTGATAGTGTAATTGATCTAAATTAATCCAGACTAGTGTAAGGGCACATACTATGCACGTGTGCAGGTAAAGGGCAAAGATATATTTAACATTATATAATCAAATTTAAATTTTATGACCTGCACTAAAACCAAGGCAAGTATCCTCTTTATATAGTATAAATTACTTGCATGTTTTGAATTAATATAATTTTCCAATGTATGATGTGTCCATGTATTAGTACTAGTTGGTGAATTACCATGTTCAAAGACTTCCAGATCGGATGAATTTGATTCTTAGTCATGTACCCTACCATCTAAAACCTGGACCTGAGTCCATATAACCTATCTATTCATAATGCTTATAACTTCTTTCTTGTGGTTTTCAGTTGTTAGCAATCTATGAACACAGAATTGCTGTGGAAGGTTTTATATGGGGGATCAATTCTTTTGATCAATGGGGGGTTGAGTTAGGCAAGGTACGGTGCTTTTTTCCTGATGCTATTTCTGGCAGTTTCCAGCTACCTGGTTGTTTTTCCATGATGAAATTTACTTTTGCATGTATTGAAATGCAGTCACTTGCTTCGCAAGTGAGAAAGCAACTTAATGCATCTCGTACAAAAGGAGAGCCAGTTGAGGGATTCAATTTCAGTACCACAACGATGCTAAACAAATATCTCGAGGTATGAAAGAACATCTTGCACTCGGCATTATGTTATATACCATGAGGATGGTCTAAAAATGACATGGTGCCTTAAGGCTTAAGATTTACCAGCCATTCCATGGGTATTTGACTGGGTGAATTTGTATATATTGGAATCAACCTATCAGTTTTATTAGGGAAGCTCTGATCAGTGATCACCAAACTTAAGATAAAGGACTTCTTTTTTACCCTTGGGTAAAATTGCCATCTGCAGAAGGTCAGGAATTGCGAGAAACAACAACTCCACGTCCCAATCCTACACCTGCACCACTGATAAGACCCCCAAGAAAATAATGAAAAGAATCCCCTAGAGCAAATTAACACCAACAGAAGACAACCACCTACTCAGCCAAACTGCCAAAGAACACAAGATGAACCTTAAAAATCAAACGACCCCCAAGACTTCACACAAATATAAACTTCCTCCCATTCACCAATCCTTTTCTACAAATTAGGCAATAAATCCCACCAAAGCCACTCTGAACCACCTCTTAACACCAATAAACTCGTACCATTCTCGAATCCATCTCCAGATTACACTCTTTCCTTCCCACGTGATGGATTCTGGTGCAGTAGTTTTAATGCTTTTTATTCTCATGCTCTTCTAACTCTGAAAATACTTTTCTATCTGTATCCAGTTGTCATAAAAAAAAAAATCACACACACACACACTTGTTTCTTCTTTTTTTCTTATCCCTTGCAAGCTGCTATTTTCCCCCCATGTTGATGGTTGCCCTTTTTCCATTCACTTGTTATGAGTTACTAAACCCAGGTAGGATGAAATTTTGTTCTAATATTAGATGATGATAAATAATTAGAACAGCGACAAATTTTCATAAAAATGGTAAATTGCTCATGAGAATATATATTTGTTACATCTTTAGAAGGTCATAGTTCATTTTTGGTATGAGAGATCTGCCGAGTAAGAGCCAAGCATTCATGGTTGATGGTTGCCATTCAACAGATGTGGTAACAGTCACAGCCTCACCGGCATCTCACATGTATTTGTTGTATGCATACAAGAGTATGCGCCTCTATTTTTGCATGTAGAAATTTGTATTTATGCATCTCTAATTCTCTAATACAAATCCTCTTTCAGGCTATTGACGTTTGTTACTATGTTTCTGTAGAGCTAAAATGTATTCCTCCTTTGACAGGCAAAATCACGTGTTCCTGCTAATCCAACCACTGTTCTACCAAAGGTATAAATGTTTGGTGCTCATGTCTAATGGAGTTGCTACTTGCTACTTCAATACCAAGGAGCATCTAATCTTGTGATTTCTGGATATCAAAACCAGCAGCATTTAAGTTTTGGAGTTGTGATCGGTAGTCTGGTACTGCTAAAGAGTTCAGCTCTGAGAATAATATTGATTAGTTGACAATCATTTCGGGACTTGCAGGTATCTGGTGCGTGGTTAAGGTTTTCTAGAAAACCCATTCATCAGATATTCAGGTTTAGGAAAAATTTAAATGATATATAAACATATAGTGATGATCAGAAGAATTCGGTTTTGATATTCGCTTGGTGAATCTTAACTGTGAGGTACTGGAGCAAGGTTTAGCTGTTCAGCGGGCTGTGGAACCATGCTGGAGAGAGATACCGTTCTAGATGGCTAAAGAGGAGACTGGATCTGCTCCTCACACCTGCCTCACACATATCCTACCATGCATTGGGTTACTTATCAATTATTATTCACGGGATATGTTCTCAATGCACGGTGGATGTGCATGCGAGACGCCCATTTGTGTGAATCTGATCCTGTCTCGTTAAAGAACTTGATTTGACGTGTTCCATCAGTCCTAACAAGTTGTGTTTGGTAAAATTCCATAAAGCCAACATGGTGCTCAACCACTGCTCAAATATGAAGCTACTCTGAGTAGCTTCTTCAGAACACCGTGCTCAACCACTGCAGCTCAATTAAAGCACGCATGCCAAATGCAGAAGCCCTCCCAAACGAGCTTATTAGCTTTTTCTGATGAGGCTGTCTGGGGTTTTTTTTACCACTGGCATAGTTTTGTGGTCCGTAGGCCTTCATATCATGCAACTTGATGAGCAAAGTATCACAACTCAGTGACTCACCGTTAGATGTGTCATCAACCTAAGTTGGATTGGGCCGGGCTTGGTTTGTATTTGGACTACCTAAGACCTCAACCTAACCCAATACCAGTTGAGGCTAATTCCAACATTTTCATGAGAGCCCGAACGAGTTCAAATCAGCCCCCCACAACGTTCCACAGTACATCCCTGCCGTTTATTGGGAATGTCTCCCAATGATGACATCATTTTTGGGATTATCATCGGGAGATGTTTCAAATACACGGCAGAAATGTGCTGTGGGACGTTATTGGGGGGGGGTCTCAGCCCCGAACATCCAAAACCAATCCATGCAACATCTCGAATTAGATCTGGTCGAACTCGAGCTGAGCCTACTCAAGTTGCAACCTAGTTGTGGTATCTCGGCATATAATTACAGTTTGTTTGGCTGCTGAGAAGGGATGGGATGGGATGAAAAGGGAAAATTTATTCTCATTTTGGCATTCTGGTGTTTGATTGCCGAGAAGGGAAAATTACTGTTCATCATCTTTCTTTGAACTCAAACTAGTGGTGTGGACGAGGTGAATTCTAATCTCCCCCTCATTAGTAAAAGAAGAATGCTTAGAAAAACTGAGATGCTAAAATTGAGATCCATACCTTGATGAAGTTATTGATCTCCCCGCCCATTCTCTCTCTCTCACTCTCTTTGTGCTATAGGTTCTGATCTCCTTTGGGTTTCTACCTATTACTTCGTTAGTTTTCTTTGTTTTTGAGATGGAGCTCATGCGAGGATGTTCAGTTTGGGGTCGGAAATTGGTTAATGGCATTCATGATTGTTGGTTTTGGCATCAGAATGGTGTTCAACGGGAAGCATTTGAGGATTGGAAACCTGACCATCAATTGAAATGGTGGGTGAGTCACGGTGGCCTTCGGGAGTTCAGTCCAGTGTTGTTCCCGATGGTTAGGCAACTATTTGGTGTTTAGAGGCATGTTCAGTTTGGTGTTGTGGTGGCCGTCACAAGGTGTTGAGTCGTGAGTTTTTCTTTTCTCATCAGGGTCTCACCATTTTAGTGAGACATTGCATCCCAGTTTTTGAGAAGTGATATCCCATCGTTTCTCGCACTATTCTATCAAACAAACACAGGTTTCAAAGAATCTAACCCGAATATTCCATATTTTTCATCCACGTCGCAGCAACCAAACAGACTGTTATGTCAACAACTTTAATCGAGATGTTTTCCCCCAACCATAAAAGAAAAGCTTTGTGTGAGTTTTGATTTATAGTGCCCATTTGGAGGGCCTTTTTGAGGCAGACCCCACATAACCTATAATGTGTATTTGGTAAAAAATCTAGAGAGCCCAAATCTGCTGCCGTTAGTTATTTAAAGGACTGTCTGCTTCAGTCTCTTTGAATGAGACTAGATTTCTTGAAAGCAAAAATCCATGGAGTATTGCAAGCACAAACATTTACATGGTGGGAACATCTCCCCACGAATTTAACATACATGTTCTGGAGAGATATTCTCAATGTGAGGCTGGATTTCATGTAGCACCCTTCAAAGCAGTTGAACTAGTTTAGCTAAATTTTCAATTCAGCCCTACCAAATGGGCCTCTAATATAATCAAACACTTAGGCCATGTTTGGGAGTGCTTAAGTTAAAAACAAGTGTTTATTTGAATAGAATAAGCAATTATTTGTGTTTGGCACCCAACTTTTTAAAGTGTTTATTTTTTAAAATAAGCACATATTTTATATTGGGTGTTTGGTAGTCTTTTTCTCTAATAAGCACTTAAATAAGCATTTGTGACTATTTTGTCTTTCATTTTCTTTCAAATTTTCAAAATATATCCTTTGAAAGCACTTTTATAAAATCACTTTTATAAAAGTACTTTTACAAAAGTACCCTTACGAAAGCACTTTTATATAGGTAATTTTATAAAAATGCTTTTACAAAAATATTTTTATAGTGTTCATAAAAGTATTTTTGTAAAAGTGCTTTCATAAAAGTACTTTCTCAAAAGTTCTTTCGTAAAAGTGTTTTCATAAAAGTGCTTTCGTGAAAGTACTTTCATAAAAACACTTTTGTAAAGTTCAACTAGGGATAATTTTATAAATGGTATTTTAAAATTCAACTAGGGATAATTTTGGAAGAAAAAAATTGAATAAGTGCTTATTGTATAAGCACTTAAAAAATAAGCCCTTATTTTGGGCTTGTTTCCCAAATACCAATAAGTGCTTAATGGCCCAAATAAACGCTTGTTTTAAATAAGCACTCTCAAACATGGCCTTAATCAAACTAATGAGTTGGATGTACTGACCAAAAGACCCTACAGCTGTACATTGAGAACCTCTACTTTTTGTTGTCATTAGTAGGGAGATATTCCTGATATGTGTCATTTACATAGGATATGACCAATATTTTGTTGATCAATAGATTTGAACTTCAAACCAATAGCTTGATAAAGCAGTTGGGTTAATAACAATATTTTCAACTGAATTTAGTTTCATTCGGAAAAGATCCACAAGGAGTTAGGGGTGAACATTCAGTTTATTTGGTTAAAAATCAAATTGAATAAATCAAAATTTAAAAAAAAAATGAACTAAATTACAAAAAAACCGAAATAAAAATTTTAGTTTGGTTTTCATTTATTTCAATTAAAACTGAATTTCATGAAGTTCTGAAATTCAATTAAAACTGAATTTCAGAACTCAACAAAAACCTCTCTTCTATCATATATATACATTTTTACTGAAATAACCCAATACACATAACCTCCCTTCTTTTTGAAATGCGAAGTTGCGAATAGTGATTTCCACGCAAAGATCTATTGCAAGTTGAATCAATAAATCATACTAAGCATTCAATATCTAAAACTGGGTTCTTTGTTTTCTTTTCATTTTTCCCCAGAAACAATCAAATAAAGCAACTGTATTCTAGTTGATTCAGTGGTAATTCATTGATCTTCCATGCCAATGCCCTACCGTTTTTTTTCTGGGCATTGAATGGAATTGTCTCTGATAATTTGGGTAGAATGATTTAATAAAACTCAAAGTGTTGATAAATTAACCATCTCATTTGTACAATTTGATGAGAGATCATGCTATTTACTTCTGTTGATTTCTCTATTTCTTTTCCTGTCTTGTATGTTTGCACTAGGATGGGGTTCTTTCCATCTAGGTTTCTCCGACAACACTGACGCTAAGCTTGAGAGGTGTCATCATACCGATGGGAAGAAATGGTGGTGCTCAAGAGATGTAGTTGCCGACCATAAATACTGAGTGGCACATGAACAGGGGCCACCATCATTCAACAAAGCCTGTGGAGGGCCAGACTAGCCATGTCGTTTCGGAACCCACATCGTTCAAGAAATGGCGATGCACCCAACAGCCTCGCCATCACACAACACCAGTCACCAGATGAAGAGCTTGAATACTGATGTTGTTAATCCTTCCACAATTACTCAGATCAACAGGTGAGAAATAACGCCTCTTAGATTTGGGGTTTGTTTCTCATCTACTTTGCTCTTCATAGTAACTAATCAACTATAATGCAGTGTTAGAGAATATGAAGAGTTGTATACATTTCTTCTCTGTTCGTTTGATTTTTTAGTTTAGGTAGAGGGATTTGTGTTAGTGGACAGGATTCCTTTATAGCCTTGGATATCAAAAACTTCTACTTATACTCAAGGGGTATGGTCACATGTAGAAAAAATAACCTATCCACGATCATCTTTTTCCTTCTTTCATTTTTTTCTTTGTTCATTGGCTCTCCATAGCATGATTCTACTGAAGAAAGAGAAGTTTGGTTCCCAAGTCCAAGACTCCCGAGGCATGCTTGCTCTCTCTCTCTCTCTCTCATAAATTGAAAGTTAAGAATTTTTCTGTTCCAAAACAACAAACCCCATTTGAGGATTCCTCTTGTATGGAGTTTGGACTTGTCTCTTTTGATTTCCTTCTCAACCCTTCACAGAGAAGCTCTTACATGAACTGCAGAAACTTTAATTCATCTCCTGAACTCAATGACAGAGAACAACAACCATAACATCCCCTTTGCCATTTTATTGATGATTGGCCCAAGAACCGATCTGATTGCTCTGGCATGCCTGGCCTGAGGTGGAATCCAATTAGATCAGACATAACTCTCTATTTCAATCCCTTTGGCTTTCTTAGAGTTCTCGTCATCCTCATCTTCACCCACCCATGAAAAACTCTCTCTTGCATGAAAATCACTGTTCGCATTTTACTTCAGAAGGAAGAGAAAGCTTGTGTACTAGGTTATTTCAGTAAAAACGTATATAAATTAATTTACAAAAGGGTAAAATGGGTATTTGGAAAAAATGATGCATCAGTCTAACGTTTTTCGTTTGGGTCAGTGATGGAAGGGAGGTTTTTGTATTTTATCCTAATATGTATTATGAAACTGAATTTTATTAAATATATTATATATAATATATTAATATAAATATATAGTATATTATATATTATACATTATGTACTAAATAAATATGTATTATATATTAATATATTAATATAAATATATATTATATATTACTTGTTATATAATGAAATTTGATTAATTCATTTTTTTCGGTAAACCAAATTTCTAATTTTGAAAACCAAAACCAAAACCAAAATAAAAAAAAAAGAATTCACCAAAAAATTAAAAGCTGAATTGAAAAAACCAAAACCAAAATTTTCAATTCGGTTTTTGGGTTTAACCGAATAATGCTCACCCACCCCTATTGGACTGGGATGTTGAGACTATGTAATAGAGATACAATAAATAGGAGTGCAACTTGGGTCAGACCCTTACCCAAGTTGGTTGAACATTTGTTAAATTTTGAATGGGCCCAAACCCTTACTTAAGCCCATTGTGCACCTTTTTTCCCTCTCTCTTTTTGGCAATGCACTTAAAGTTAAAAGGCTTAGCTTGGAAAGAGTACAAATATAAATATGTATAGTATAAATATATAAAATAATACAAAATACAAATGTTTTATATTCTATGTATTTGTATTTGTACTCCTCTTAGTTTGGAAGGAGTACAAATATAAACATGTAGAGTGCAAAACCTTATATTTTGTATTGTTTTGTATGTATTTATATGGATTATTTACTAAAACACATTTATAGTTTCATGTATTTATTAAAACCTACCCTATAGTTTATGTTTTACTAAAATCTCCTAATTTGTAATCCATTTACTTAATTGATATTTTGTCAAGAATCTTTTATATTGATGTCTGAAAATGGTAACTTAACCATTTGTACCGACCAGAAAATGTTCAAAGGCATGGGGCTATGGTATTTTATTCCGAAAGTACCTTTAGCACTTCACATCAAGTTTTTAAAATGAATTAATGTTTGATTTTCAAATCTACCACACAATATTTAGTTTGGTAGAATGAAAAGAGAATGGTGCATCTCAGGTTATTAGTTTGCAATAGGATGTCTTCCTTCTTCAAATAGAGAATAAAATCGATGAAAAGAGTTGTTGCCCATGTTTTACTAGAGCAAGAAAAGAGTCGGTAGAATGAAGAGTTTAGTAGACACTTTGGTCAAAACTGTCATTTTCCACTTCAATCTAACTAAAGATGGATTAAATTAGTTGAAAACTATAAGAAATGTTTTAGTAAAATCTGTTACTCACAAGGTGTTTTCACCATGGTTTTCAAAATCGGATCGGACCGAAAAAATTGGGAATTGGTCAAGTGACTGGTTTTATTTTTCCCTAAAATCATATTTTTCCCAAAAATCGTTGATTACCGGACAATTAACCATTTGAACTGTTCGAACGGTTTTGACCATTATTTATTTATTTTTTTAATTTTTAATTTTTTTGTCAGAACGAGCCGACAATTTGATTTGAACAATTAGACCGTTCAACCCGAGAGCCAAACCCCTGACCGGTTCTCTGGGTCAATTTTAAAAACCTTGGTTCCCACATCCCCTACCCACCGGACATTATAACCTATAGGTGAGCATGGAAATACCTCTCTTATCATTTTACAGGGAGATGTTCCCAATACAGGGCTGTGGTATTATGTGGGTAGGGATGTGGGAACAAACTGTGGGCAGAAGATCCGGCTCCAGAATTCTTTCCCTCCGCCCAGAAGGCCAGAAGACCAGTCTCACTCCGTAATTGCATTATTTGGTCCCCATCTTTTAATCCCACTTCTTCGCACCTCTGAATTCTGATTACAATCTACATGTCTACATCTCTTTTCTGTGTAGATCCAGGATTAGACGTCTGATGATGGATCACCAAATTCCAATAATTTTTCTCAATTCTTTGTGCTGATTAGGCACGCCACGTAGGATAAAGATCTGGTCTCAAACTCTGATAAAAGTCTCAACGCGAAAATGACACTCAGGCCCGGCGTCCATTAACCAATGTCTACTGTTCTGTAAACTCATCAGTCTGGAGGCCAATCCTCGACGCCTTATTGTTCATATTCTGTTGTCCTTTTTTTCTTTTTTTAAATTACATGCTTGAATTTTGTTTCTGGCTTCGAATTTTCCGAGATAAATGAATATTAGGGTTCAGATTGATCTCTAGAGGAAGTTTTAATGACACGAAACTGTTGATTTTATCGTCTGAGACATTCTAGGGGTTTTGAGATGTCTGTTGCGGAATTAAAGAAGCGGCATATAGCTGCTACAGCGACTGTGAATGCCCTAAGAGAACAGTTGAAGCAGAAGAGGATTCTTCTTCTTGATACTGATGGTAGCTGAACCTTCTTTACTCTATTGATTTCTTGCTTTTCTTCCTTTTAAGTTTTTCCTTCCTTTTTTAATCTTCCTTATATGTGTGCCATCTGCTCTGATTTTGCAGTCGCGGGGTATGCCAGGTCGCAGGGACGAACGCCGGTTAGCTTTGGCCCTACCGATCTGGTCTGCTGCAGGACATTGCAGGGACACACGGGAAAGGTAGGGTTTTATCATTATGCGATTTTGTTAAATCGACAAGATAATTTGTCAAGGTTGTGTTGTGGATTGATTCGGTACCAACCTCATGCTGCAAATTGTTTGTACCTTGTTATCTTATTTCTTACTTGTCATGCTATCCTGCTTGTGCTTGCTTAAATATGTTGGTTAGTTTTCTAGTTTACCTCTTAAGGGCAATGTGTTGGTCGATAATTGAAGATCTTCTATTGATAGATGCTCCCTCCAACAGACCCATCCCTGCCCCTAGTGAATATCACGGAGTATCAAATGGATATAATTGGTTGCAATGTTCAGTGAACTGAATAGAAGAGCATTTGGAAACTTTAGAAAAAAAAATTATATAATCTTACTGGGAACATTATTTCTTAATTAATGGTACAGTTATGTTGAATTATCATTATTTAAGTATGTAAAGAAGGCATCCATTGAACCAATATGGTGTTTCAAATCCAAATGTACGTGCAGTCGTTTACCAATTCTTGGGGGTTGCCAGGTTTGATATCCTTCTGACCTCTCTCTCTCTCTCTCTCTCTCCCCTTTTATCTTCAGGTTTAGTTTTGAATGCACGATTCTGGTTATTTTCCCCTCTCTCTTGAAATGTTTTTTTATAAACCATGCGTAGAAGAATGTTTTTCCTGTCATGTCTCTTTGGAGACATCTAATAAAATTGGAATAAATGTTTCTCCTATTATATTGTCTCTGAGAGACTGAGAGTGTAGAAACAACTGTCGTTTAAGACATTTTATTCCCCCCTCCACCTTATGCTTTTACTTCTGCACTGTACCTGTAATGGTTCCAAGTGCTGGATAACCAATGACATTTTTGGTTGCAATAGTATTCTTTTTGATTAACAACTGGCTGCAAGAATATTCTGCAAGGTAATTGTTGATGCCTTTTTTTGAGGTTGTTTTAGTTTGAAACAGGATATTGCCTTGATGTAAGAAAGTAGTAATGATATTGGTTTCCTTAGATTTTTTCCTGACTGATTTATCCAGGCATGGTGAAAAGGACATGGATTGAAGTAGTAAGAAATAATTTAAGTGCTCATTGTTTAACAAATGATATGGCACTGGACAAAATGGAATGACAGAGCTGGATCCATGTGGCCAACCCCATATAGTTGGGACAAGACTTAGATGATGATGGTTATTATTCACCCATGCATGGGTATAAGGTTATACCATTTAGAATTATGATAGGTGCAGTTGTCTTTTTTTGATATTGTAAATCATTTATCAAGAATTAAGATTGTAGAGTGTGAGCAGAAGTATATGGAGCTGGTTGAGCAACAATATTTGTAGTTGGAGTTTTTGCTTATGCTCAGTGCATCTTGGACTTCTTTCTGTTGGGATGATTTTTGCCTCTTGAATGGACTCATGGTAGTGGAGTGCTTTTATAATATTTGCCAGTTTTTTGGCTTCTTGTTTCTTGGTGGATATTGTTGACCACATTACGGCTGCAACAGCCACAAAGTAACAGGGATCTTGTACAAATGGTGGCACTTATGGGTAAAAATTGCCATCATTTTTCATTATTTGCCTTGTTGTTTCTAAGTGTTACTATTTCTAAAATTTTATCTTATTCTTTGTTTTCCTTTGTTGGATCATCACAATCTACTAAGTGCAGTCATGCATGCTCTCTTTGATATATGTCCTGAGAATTTTAACCCCATTACATGAGAAATCTGCCAGGTTTATTCTTTGGACTGGACTTCTGAAAAGAATCGAATTGTCAGCGCATCTCAAGATGGAAGGTTAATTGTGTGGAATTCTTTAACGAGCCAAAAAACTCATGCTATAAAGCTACCTTGTGCGTGGGTCATGACATGTGCCTTCTCTCCAAATGGTCAATCTGTTGCATGTGGTGGTCTCGATAGTATATGCTCTATCTTCAATCTAAACTCGCCTAATGACAAGGACGGAAACTTAACAGTATCAAGAATGCTCAGTGGGCACAAGGGTTATGTATCCTCATGTCAGTATGTTCCAGATGAAGATACTCACCTAATAACCAGTTCTGGTGATCAAACATGTATTTTATGGGATGTTACTACAGCCCAGAGGCTTTCTGTATTTGGAGGAGAATTTCCATCAGGACACACAGCTGATGTACTGAGGTGAGTGTAAGGATCATGAATTCTGAGCAGTAAGAACAGGGATCTATATATACATGCATATGGTTGGGACAAGGTTTATTCCAGTTGAGCTGAGTTACAAGCACAATCCTTACTATAAAATGTGACTGTCAATGCAGTCTTAGATGTAATTGGAATTTATGCCTTGGGAGGATGTTCCATACTTCCATTGTATAGGTTAAATTTGATTATCCATAGTACCATGTCAAACAATGACAATCAATAGGTTCTACTTGAACTATGATTAAATTGTTGTCTTGATTGTCTGTGCATCCATATGCTAAATAAATAGCTTCTTGATGTTTTACATCATTTTCAGTGTATCAATCAATGGATCCAACTCAAAGATGTTTGTCTCTGGTTCATGCGATGCAACTGCCCGGTTGTGGGACACCCGCATTGCAAGTCGAGCAGTCCGCACATTTCATGGCCATGAGGGAGATGTTAGCACTGTAAAGTTCTTCCCAGATGGATACAGATTTGGAACTGGCTCAGATGATGGAACATGTAGGCTATTTGACATGAGGACTGGGCACCAACTGCAAGTCTACCACCAGCAGCATGATGGTGAGGTTCCTCTTGTGACCTCCATTGCCTTCTCAATATCAGGCAGGCTTCTGTTTGTTGGATACTCAAATGGGGACTGCTACGTATGGGACACCTTAATGGCAAAGGTATGTGAGGCTCAGTTTTGAAGTTGAATCCTTATGCATCTGCCTTATATGTTTATAGTATACTTTTATTTATTTATTTGATATGTCTGAAATCAATATAGATCTCTAACACATGTTGTCATAAATGTATCTTGGAGAAAAAGAAGGATCTTATTTTGCCTTATAGCTACATCAAGTTGTTTACTTGAAATGCATCAAGAAATGTTTGAATTGGCACCTTCTTTGGAATTTTTTCATTATTGTTAATCCTATAAACAAAAAGCTTCCATGCTTTACTTACATTGGCTAATTGTATGGTAGGACATATATTGCATGTCAAGTACTGCCAGATAGTCACTGTGAGAACCTGAGCACTGAGGCATTTTCTTCTCTTTTTACCTCCTTCCTATATGACCTACCAGAATATACCTCTTTAAGAAGGCAAAGTATCCTTGTTGTAGTGTGCTGTCTGTTTTCAGCGTGACTTTGTTTACCTTGCAATTTGAATCTGCATTCACATTCATTATTTTAATCTAATCAGAAACTAATGTGGCACAGTGTGCTAGATTTTCTCTTAAAATTGGTTCCTTCATCTCAGGTAGTTCTAAATTTGGGATCTCTGCAAAACTCACATGAGGGCCGGATCACTTGTTTGGGTTTGTCAGCAGATGGGAGTGCCTTGTGTACAGGAAGCTGGGATAGAAACTTGAAGGTTAGATTTTCTATAAACCTGTTCATGTTATTTCATGCAACACTTTGTGGTATACATAAAACATGGCACCATTTTTCAAGTTTAAGCCATATTTTCTTCATTCTTGTTGACTTGATGCCTGCATATCATTCCAAGTAGTTACTATAAAGTGGAGTATCAAGTGTTATCCCCTTGGCCTTGGAAATATGGATTCTAATTCCAGTATTCCACTAGTTAAAATTCATGGATTCCTTGTTCTATTCTTATCTGACAACTCATGCCATCTTTGCTATGCATGTTATTACCCCAAATTTTTGTGCCAGTTCTGCAGCTATCCTAGAGAAAATTTTGCTATAAGCTGGGTTATTATGCCTCTGTACATATATTAAGCAGATCCAGATATCCTTTACATTCAAAAATAGAATATGTCTGCACATTGTCACATATCGACTCTTCTGTTACTTGTGCATAAAAATTAACTCACACGAGCCTTATTTTGGATCCTGGTATCCAAATCACCATGGCACTTGATATGTTTTGGTGTTTTATTAGGTTTTTATTTGGTTGCATTTTGGGGGGACCCACTCGCTTATTTGTGGAGTGCAGGCCTCCACCAATCAACATGGGAACTGAGTTGGTTGTGACAGTTTGTCTTGATTTTCATGGTGAAACCATCTCCTTTCTCTTTCAATCAAATTTTTATGATTGTGGAGTTGGAACCTAGTACCATAGGGTAGTTGAATTAGATTGGGGAATGAAAATGGGCAATTCCCACTATGTAAGCTAACAAAAGCAGCCCGTTCTCTGGTATTTTGGTTCCATTTTGAAGGAGTACAAATACAAATACGTAGAGCGCAAAACTTTATATTTTTGTACTATTTTGTATGTATTTGTACTGTACATACTTGTAATTGTACTCCTTCCAAACTGAGCCTTTGGTTTCAATCATACACGGTAAAACTGATGCTATAGCATACTAAGTGTATACGATGCCTAGGGTATGCATATTATTATTTATCTGTGTGAAGCAGATAGATTTTGTACCTGTTCAGTGTTGAATGCTAACTAGTGCAATGTGAACATTTCTTTTTGTTGGCAGATCTGGGCTTTTGGAGGACATAGGAAAGTTATATGAGTTTTCCAGGCGGGAAAAAGACTTTTGCAAAAGCAAAGCTAGGGAATCTCTTAGCTCTTGGTAGAAATTGTCCATTCCTTGTTTGTAAAGTCTTCTTATCAAGGCATATTTAAGGTTTTTATCAAGGCAAAGCTAGGAAATCTCTGGCTTTTCATCATTTAGGAATTCCTTTATATAAACCCTCCCTCATTTGCCATTTGCTTAGTACCCCGCCACAGCTAGCTTCATGGCTACCGCAGGTCCTGCAGCGAAGGACGGACACATTGGATCCATATTGTCTAGTTGTTGACGGTAGAAAGAAACTCCTAGTCCATCACCACATTGAACACACTAAGGGGCCGTTCTACAACATGAATTGTTTTTCTTGTTGCCGGTTCAAAAAACAAATCAAAACCATCTTGTTTGAAAACAGATTGTTTCTTGAAACAAAAACATAAAATTCTTGGTTGTGTTTTTTTATTTTCAAAACTGGAACTAAAAACATGTTCATGGTTATTCAAATCATGTTCCATAAAATATATAATTTTTATACTAAAATAATTTGTTTTTGTTTTAAGAACCAATATTTTGTTGGTTCCAAAAATATGTATTGTTTTTTGAAACAAAATCAACTTGTTTTTTACTTTGAAAACAAAATCAGAGTTCAAGAACATGTTTTTGTTTTTGTTTTGCTTTTGTTTTCTTGTTGATGTGATTTTAAAAACAAATGAAAATAAAAACATTCATGCTGTAGAACCCCTAAAAAGAATAGATAGTTCGCTTGAATGCAATGGCATTATATTATAAAATTCTGTGTGTGACTGGCTTGGCCGTTGGCTTGATTAGTCGAGTTCACATTTGCTCATACGGCTGCATGAGGATTTCCTCATGCCAATCAATGAGATATCCCACACCAAACTTAATCGTCAACAACAGAATGGATAGGAACTCTTAGCTTGGAATGAAAATTGAGTTCAGCTTGGATTCGAACTTTAGTGGTGTTTGGAATGGCCTTGTGGTTCCATTGCGTTTGTATTTGAAGATTGTATTGGGTGCCAGTTTAAACTATTATCGACCTGCCTCACTAAATTAAATCCTTTTTGGGAATGATGCGATTCAAAGGGGTGATGCACTTCGAATCAGGACATCTCTAGTAAGGATGTTAGTTTTCAAAAGTCGCTACGATGTACACTGACACGTGTTAATACTTTGATGAGCCTTCATTCTCTTTCAAACTACATCATTTTATTTTGCATTTTATTCTCACAAATAAATAAAACAAATTCAACCCTTAAGCAAAGATAAATTATAAATCTATATCTACATATTAAAATGGAATGTGCCCAGTTGGCACTTTCCTGCAGTTTGGTTTATTCTCAAAGTTACCTAACTTTTTCTGGTTTCTTCTCAAAGTCAACTATTTTTTTTTCTTTGAATTTTTTAATTTTAAACTTGAATAAAATAACTCAAGTGGCCAATCATTTTTAAGACTTTTAACACTCTTCATTAACACATCATTAACTCTCTCTCCCATCAACTCTTTTAATAATCTTTCCTCATTCTCTCTCATCTCCATTATTCCATTAAATTGCATATAATTCATTAACTTTATCTATATATATATATATCAATTTCAATTTAACTATATATATATATACATATATGTATTAGATATATTTGCATTAAATTGTAATTATTAGTAAAGATGAATTATATTGAAATTGAGATGTTCAATGATATATTATTATGCTAAATAATCTACTTCCATTTAAAATTATAATCCATTTATTCCATTTGAAAATAATAAAAATTTATATAGTTAATTAAATTTCATAAGGAATTTAAATTTCACAACTTAATATACTTAAATAAATTCAATTTTTACTAATTTCAAAAATCAATAAGAATATCAATTTTAAATATAGCTTAATTATTTTAAAATCAATTTAAGTTCCATTTAAAAATAAAGAAAATTATAAAAGCCTCATTGGGTTTTCTAACAATCCTATGAAACTCCCTAGTGTTTTGGCCTTAACAAAATCTTCCTTTATTGTTTTGAAAAAAGGTGCAAATACCTTCTTTTTTGTTAGCATTCCAAATAAAAAATATTGATGCAATACATTAATTTTACTTCACTTCAGCCCTTTTACCTTACTTTGTCTAAGAAGAGTAAGGGGAGTTATTCTTTGAAAGTTATTTGGAAAAATAAATAAGTGGAGGGTAAAGTTGAATTTTTAAATTATATATGACAATGCATTAACAATGATAAGGGTATTTTCATAACTTCAATGTATTTGTTACCAAAAATCCAAGGGAAAGGAGGTATTTGAACTTTTTTTATTCAAAACTATAGGGGAGGCCTTTGTTAGGGTCAAAACACAAAGGTGGTTTATATATAGAATTGTTATAAGGGGATTTTTTTTTATAATTTTACCTAAAAATAATACAGAAATAATGATAAACCAATAAAAATTAATAAAAAATTTATTTTCAAAAAATTAATAAAATTTAGCATTAAGATACAAAAATGATACAAATTTATGTAAAAAATAGGAAATTAGCCACTCTCACTAAAGTGCAACTTAGATTGTGATTGGATAAACTAAACTTAACCCAAAAAAATAATACTTGAACTGAACTTAGATGGACACCATTTAATTGGAAATGTCACATAGCTCCTTCAATTTTGCTTATAAATGAAGCCCGTGCATGGCATGAGTCCTAACTAGTTACACTTTAAAGCAAATAAGAAGTAAGAATTTACACTCCACCCATTTACATTGAGCCATGATCTCCTTAAAGCTAAAATCATAGCTTAGGTTGTTCATGGCTTGAGTTTTGCTTATAGCCTAGGTTGTTCTTCCATTATGATTATCTCTAAGTTGATGGTTGACGTTATTGAGGGTAACTCAGCTCCTCCTTGGTCATTGTGGTAATAGTAATTTGGAATTGCTCCTCACATAGCTCCCCTCACATTGGCACATTGCAGCTGTGTATTTGAAACATCTTCCCCATGAATGATAATATACAAGTATTGGAAATATTTTTAATATATTGCTGCAATTGTTGTGAGGTGGTCTACCATACCATGGGCAAGGATCTACCACCAACTAATGCTCCCATTACTATCCCAACTAGTCGAGTTGGGATTAATTACCAACAAAACATGTTCCAACACCCTCCCAACTTGATTTGACACCACACCATGAGATAGGATATATCATACAATGAAATCCACCATGTATGAGATGTGTGGTGTCAGATCATGTTGGAAGGGTGTTGGAACATGCTTAGTTGGTAGGTGATCCGGGTTCCAACTAGCCACTACAGCCGCACATTGGAAACATTTCCTTGCAACATGGTACAATGTTGGGAGTGTATTGTATGAAACTTTAATGCTTCTTTATGAATCAGGATCTGCTTCTCACACTAATCACACATCATATCAATTAGTTGCACATAGACCTGTTCATGGGCCGGGCCGGGCCGGGCTCGGGCCGGGCTTTTACTGTGTATTAACAATTTTTTTTAAGGCCCGAGCCCGGTCCGACCATCGGGCCTACAATTTGGGCCCGAGCCCGGCCCGACCATCGGGCCTATAATTTGGGCCTGAGCCTGGGCCTGGGCCCGAAATTTAGCCTATATTATTATTATTATTAATGTTGAAGCAGCTGAATAAAGAGAGAGATAGATTGAAATTATAAAGAAAAGAATAA